CTCCACAACATCAAAACAAACAACCCACTTAAGAGATGGGCCAAGGACCTCAATAGACAGTTTTCAAAAGAGGAAATCCAAATGGCCAACAGACACATGAAAAAATGTTCAAGATCACTAGCAATCAGGGAAACGCAAATCAAAACCACAATGAGGTTTCACCTCACCTCAGTTAGAATGGCTCACATTCAGAAATCTGCCAACAATAGATGCTGGCGAGGATGTGGGGAAAAAGGGACACTAACCCACTGTTGGTGGGAATGCAAATTGGTTAAGGAACTATGGAAGTCAGTCTGGAGATTCCTCAGAAACCTGAAGATAACCCTACCATTCAACCCAGCCATCCCACTCCTTGGAATTTACCCAAAGGAAATGAAATTGGCAAACAAACAAGCTGTCTGCACATTAATGTTTATTGCAGCTCAATTCACAATAGCTAAGACCTGAAACCAACCCAAATGCCCATCAACAGTAGACTGGATAAAGAAATTATGGGGCATGAACATTTTGAAATATCCTTATATATGAGGTATTCCTATAATTAGTAGAAAATAAGTAAAAAAATCCAAAGAAATATAGGAAAATATTTTGCATTAATAGCCCTCAAAAGAAAAAAGCACAATGCAAAAAAGCTGATTAACAAACAATGTTATATATCTCCATTAATAATAAATGACAAATTAATGTTTGAATTACTGTTTTACTTGAGTTTTAAATTCTTTATTAAGCAGATATACTATGAATAATTTCTATATTATGTCTTTACATGATTTTATAACTTAATTTTTCATTTAGAAATTTTAATCCTATCTCAGTGAAATATATCAATTATTTCTTTTATGGCTGAATTTTGATTTATAACATTTTATTAATATGAATGTGCATTATTACACTTCTGTGGTTACTAATATATTTTAATACATCAGCATCTCACTTTGTTTTTTTAAACATTTCTCAATTTTTAGTATTTATAAACTTCTCTTTGTAATTTGTTTACTGATGTTCTTTGAAAACTAATCCTTTCTAGATCATTATGTAGGTGAGCTTTAGAAATTAGAGTGTTCTAAAAAATACTCCTTTGGGCAAACTTTGTCTGCCTCACTTTAATGACTTCTTCTGAAGTAACAAGGAACTTTTTAAAAATTCAAAAAAAAAAAATCAAGATCTAATTGAAATGGCATTTGGGAGTATATGCCCTTGCCATCTTGTTAACTACCCATGCTTCTCACCTCCTAGCGTGAATGAGACACAAAAGCTTTAGAAGTCTGAAAGCCCATGGCAGAGATAGTAGAAACTGTGACTGATTCCAAATGTATAAAGCTTCCTTGAAGTGAAACGTCTCAAGCAAGTCATTATTACTTGGAAAAAAAGTCAACTTTTCTGCAAAAAGTGCAGCGTTTCCTTCCTACGTTACAGTTTTATTTCTCTTATTTTTCCCAAATTAGCATTGGTTGCTGTTCAGAGCTACATAAATGGATTTGGGGACTCTATGTTTGTTCTACTTTACTATAATTTTATGGTTTAACCTAGGCTTTCCTCCAAATTAAACGTTTTGGAAATAACTTCCATGAGGTGGCATCAGTAATTAAATAATTTTTTCTTTTAGTTGATGCATAGTCATTATACATATGCACATATACATGGCCTAATGATCAAATCAGGATAATTAGCATTTCCATCCCCTTACATTTTTATCATGTTGATGAAATGACAACATTCTTTTAGTTGTTTTGAAACAGACAATGGATTATGGTTAACTATATTCACTCTACTGTGCAACAGAACACTGGAACTTCTTTCTCCTATTTAAGTGTAACATTGCACCCACTGACCAAATTTCCTCATCTCTCATTCATCCACTTTCTTCAGTGTCCACTGTCCTACTCTCAACTTGTATGAGATAGCTTTTAGTTTCAACATAGGAGTAGAATCATACAGTGTTTGTCTTTGTGTGGCTAGCTTATTTCATTATTTAACATGTCCTCAAGGTCCATCCATGTTGCGCCATCCATTTGTTGTCGCAAATGAAAGGCTTTCATCGTCTCTATGGGGAATAGTATTCTACTTTATATGCCACACTTTCTTTATCCATTCATTGGCTGATGGACATTGAGGTTGATTACATTTCTTAGCTATTGCAAATAGTGTTGCAATAAGCCTAAAAATGCAGATGTTTCTTAAATATATTGATTTTATTTCCTTTGGCTATATGCCCTACACTGGGATTGCTGGATTATATGGGAGCTTCATTTTCAGTGAATCTGAGTAGTCTTATACTCTTTTCCATAATGATGACACTAATTTTATATTCCTATCAGCAACACATTCATATAATAGTTCCTCAGTCTCTACATTCTTATTAGCATTTGTTATTTTTTTTTCTTTTAGATATCAACCATTCTAATTGGGGTGATATAGTACTATCAAAGATTTGCATTTCTGTAATGGTGGAGTTGAGTAATTTTCATATATTTGTTGGATATTTGCATATTTTTAACAAATGTTTATTCATAACTTTACCTCATTTGACTGAATTATTTTGGACTAATTAGTACCTTATAATTTCTGAATAATAACTCCTTGTCAGATACAGCACATTTTCTAAATATTTTCTACTAATAAATAGATTATTTCTTCATTATGTTGGTTGCTTCCTTTGTAGTGAAGTTTTTTATTTTGATGAAATACTATGTGCCTATTTGTGCTTGTCATCTGAGTTCTTGAGGTTTTTTCTATAGAAAAACACTTCTTTTGATCAATGTCAAATAGTTTCCCAAATATTTTCTTCTAGTAGTTCCATAGCTTTTGGTTATAATCTCTATCAAAATTCTACTATTATACACAGAAACAGAAAAAACCTCCTAAAGTTTTATCGAACCACAAAAGACTCCAAATAGCCAAAGGATCTTCATTTTAAGAAAAGAAAAATCAAGAAGTATCACATCACTTGACTTCAAAATATATCTCAAAGTTATAGTAAGCAAAACAGCATGGCATTGGCCTAAAGGCAGAAACACTGAGGCATAGGAAAGAATACAGAGAACAGAAATAAGCCCACACATTTATAGCCAAGTGATTTTTGACAAAGTGCCAAAAGTACACAATGGGGAAAGAATGATCTATTCAGTAAATGGTGCTGAGAAAACTGGATGTCCACATATTGTAGGGTGAAACTAGACTCTTATCTCTCTCATCACATACAAAAATCAACCCAACCTGGATGAAAGATTTACTTGACTTCCAAGAATAATAACTAGTATAATAAGTTCTTAGATTTCCTACTGCTCAGAGTGTACAAAATAATGTATAGCACACCAAAAAGCAATCAGGTAGGCAGCTTATAAAATGGGGCCCACAGGCAGAAAAGTAAGTTATACAAAATTTGTTAGAACACTAACATTGCTATAGTTCACTAAATAATCTTCTTATTTTTGCTTTCTCTATATTCTATTCTATTCTTTTAAGATTTATTTTATTTGAAAGAGTTATACAGAGAGAGGAGAGGCAGAGAGAGAGAGAGAGAGAGAGAGAGAGAGCGCTCTTCTATCCGATGGTTCACTCCCCCAACTGGCCACAATGGCCGGAGCTGCGCCAATCCAAAGCCAGGAGCCAGGAGCCTCCTCCCGGTCTCCCATGCAAGTGTGGGGGCCCAAGGACTTGGGCCACCTTCTACTGCTTTCCCAGGCATAGCAGAGAGCTGGATAGGAAGTGGAGCAGCCAGGTCTCGAACCAGCACCCACACGGGATGCGGCGCTTCAGGCCAGGGCGTTAACCCACGGCTCCACAGCTCTGGCCCTTCTATTCTATTCTATTCTATTCTATTCTATTCTATTCATCATCTCTATTCTTCTGTTCTATTCATCATCATCAAAACAATCACATTAGTGCTTTGAACCTCTATGGTACATTTAGGAGCTCCTGGTTGATAATAAAGAAAATTTCTAACTTCATTAAATCTACGATCCAAGGCCTTCCACACATGCCCATTCTGCCTTCTGGGATCATTTCCCCATTTTTTAAAGACTTTATTTATCTGAAAGTCTGAGTTACAGAAGGAGAAGGACAGAAAAAAAGAAGGGGAGAGAGAGAGAAAGGAGAGAGCGAGAGCAAGAGAGAGAAAGAGAGAAACTTTCATTTGCTCCAAATGAAGCTCTCTATAGAGACTGGCAACTACTTGCCAATACTCTTTTCTTGTGTTTTCTGGGTGTTCTGATATTTGGTCAATCTTGTTAGTTTTCCCCACCAATATAACAGTTTTTAAGGAAGAAATTCTTGGGCGGGTCAAGCTTTTCTGACTCCAAGTCTCCATTTTCTTATGGTTTATTTGTCACAAACAGAATAGTTTATCAAATGCTTCTTTGTTCTGTAAACCATCATATAGAAATTTTCCTTTCTCTTGTTAGAGTGCATGGTTGCTGAAAGTATAATTTCGTACGTAAAATAGCTTCTTCACAATATAGTCCCATAAGGGTTTATTATACATTGAAGAAAACACAAATGCATGCCTTACATTTCTAAAGAACCAGTAACACTGATTCCAAACTCAATAAATGTATCTATAAACTTCAGTAACCCTGGACTGCTATCTAAGAAAATGTTCTCTGTGACTGGCATTGTGCTTTAGTGGGTAAAGCTGCAGCCTGTGACGCCAGCATTCAATGTAGGTGCTGGTTTGAGACCCAGCTGTCCCACTTCTGATCTAGCTCCCTGCTAAAATGCCTGGGAAAGCAACAGAAGATGATCCAAGTGCTTGGGACTCTGCCACCCATTTGGTAGACCCTGATGAAGCTCCTGACTCCTGGTTTAAGACTGGCCCAGCTCCAACCATTGCAGCCATTTGGGGAAGTGAACTGGGAGTGGACAATCTCTCTGTCTTTTCCTCTCTCTGTAACTCTGCCTTTCAAATAAATAAATCTTAAAAAAAAGAAAATGACTTCAACAAATGACTGGAGGTGGTTATTTTATATCTACATAATTATTTATTCAATTTCTGTGAACAGTGTTCATCATCTGTGCACCTGTGACACCTACTCCTGCTTCCTTGTCCTGAGTCTTATTCAGCCATTATGAAAAATTATCAATTAGTCCCTCAAGGGGTAAGTAGATGCTTCTACTTAGGAATGACTCCAGAGCATGTGAGCAAATTTCAGTAAGTTACAATCTTGGAAGCTTAATTTATAATTCATATTATGTAGCAAATACATAGTGATGATGGGGAAAATCATACTTATAATAAAGAAGAATGAAACATATTTTCCTTCATGGAACAAGCAGTTTGAGAAACACACAAACATATCACTAGGTGACTTACATACTCTTCCCTCCCTCTTGTAGTAAAGTGAGCCCAAGAATCAGCATTATACTTAACAGAGAAATATAATGGCAGCTTCTGACCATCAGTGTCGCAGCAAAGGTTATCTTTGGCAGCTCTACGATTTACATGACAGTAGAAATACACAAAAGAGAACAGAGCTAGAAATACTAGAAGGTAAAAGCTAAACCAATTGCAGATACAGAAGCTCCTCTTCTTATGATACAGTTAAGTCCTACTAAATCTATCCTAGGCTGAAAATGTATTTATTACACTTAACCTATCTAACATCAGAGCTTAGCCTAGTGTACCTTAAACACCCCCAGAACACTTACATTAACCTAGGGTTGGGCAATATTATCTAACACAGGCTATTTATAATGAAGTCTTAAGTATATGATACATATATAATTATATTTACATATTTATATGACTTAATGGGATGTGAAAACGCAAACACAATGAACACCATAGATTATAATTATAACTCTCTCGTAGTCAAAGAGATATGAAACATTAGAGTCCCAAAATATTTTAAATATTCTTAGTGGGATAAAAAGTAATGGATAGCTTACTTAAATGACTCAAAGATTGGACGTTATGTAATCTGAGTTGTAGTCTACACACTATGGAACTTCCTGTAAGATTTATGTCTCTCCTCAGTCTTCATGTTTATCTTCCACATAGGTGATCATATATCAAAGTAACATTTCTGTTATCGAACTGCAATTGTTCTGACAAAGCAGATACATAGGAAATGAGCCTATTTGCCTTACATATCAGTAAAATAATGATAGCCCTGCAACTTTATATTTTTTCATATGTCACAACCATAAAACATCACATTGAGCATGACAGTTTTATTTTAAATCTCTGCTTAGATACAAATCCTTGTGAAAAATATCCTTGAATCCTATCTTTAGGGAAAAGTAACAGACTGAGAACTTTCTAAGAAGGTTATTTTTACTGGAAACCGTATCTCTGATATATCTTGGACATTTTGGACTTTGCTATCAATACACTTTTAAGACACAGTTATTACAATCACATAAAAGCAAAGAGAACACCCTCTGCAAAAGAGATTTTTATCAGGATGTTAGCCAGGTACTGATGACACCTTTAAATAATGTTTGTTAGACAGAGGTCATAAATGTTTCCATGTTCACATAAAATCAGAAGAGTAGAATTTTGCATATTTGTGTAATCCAGGTATTTTCAACGTGTCTTACTCATAATAAGTGATTAATGGTTAGTTAAGTTATAGATTAGTTAATAAATATACTAGATTAATTAATAAGCATATAGATTCCTAAATGCAATTAAATCAGTTAAATAAATATTCATAGAGCACTTAATATTTACCAGTGTATGAGGCACTAGAGCAAATGGTAATGAATGGACAGCAACTTGAAAGATCTTGTAGTTCTAGTGGGAAGACCAACATGCAAACGTCATTTCAAAAAGCCCATGAGAGTTTCTCAGGCATGGAAAGCCAAGACACTGTGGCAAGAAAAGTGACCTAAATGAAAGATCTCTGTGAGTGAGATCCCAGTGGAAAGAACGGGCCATCAAAGAAGGAGGTACTTTTCTCTGCAGGGAGGAGAGAACGTCCACTTTGACTATGGCCTTGTCTAAATAAGGTTGGAGTCTGTGAACTCAAGAGGCTTCCATAGCCTTGGCAGCTCATGACAAGAGCCTTGGGTGATTACTGACATCATAAATAAGAGTGTCAATTGTTAAATCAACAACAGGAATCACTGTGCACTTACTCCCCATGTAGGATCTCTGTCCTTAATGTGTTGTACTATGCGAATTAACGGTAAAACTACTACTCAAACAGTACTCTATACTTTGTGTTTCTGTGTGGGTGCAAACTATTGAAATCTTCCCTTTAGTATATACTAAGTTGATCTTCTGTATATAAAGATAATTGAAAATGAATCGTGATGAAGAATGGGATGGGAGAGGGAGTGGGAGATGGGATGGTTTTGGGTGGGAGGGAGGTTATGGGGGGAAAAGCCACTATAATGCAAAAGTTGTACTTTGGAAATTTATACTTATTTTAAAAAAGTTAAAAAAAATAGTAAAACAAATCCCTGAAGAAAGGATCATGATGATATTCTCAAGGTGCTGACATAGTCTGAAGAGGAAAGCCTCTATGAAAGAAAACTGCCCAGAGGAAGAGAAGACAAGTGAATTTGAATTAACCAGACAATAGCAGAGGTAGACAGAAGAAGTTCAAGGTTTGGAAGTCTTTACAAAATCAAAGTAGACTATTTCTAATGAATAATTTTATCTAGTGTTATTTTAATAGAATTTAAATCTATTATCTTTTATGTTAAGGTATATATTATTTTGTCTGAATAATTTTGAAAAACTTAGAATTGACTTTAAGACATTAAATTGAGTCCTTAGTTATTTAATCACTAAGCAACCCATGGCATTGGACAGCTTACTGAGTGAGTCACTTGAATTTTCTTATTCCTTCCTGTAAAATGAGGGAACTGAACGAAATCACTGCTGAAATTCCCTTTTAAAACAAATAATATTGTGATGTATCGTGGATATATCAAAATATGAATACTCAGGCTGCATCTCTATATATGTTGCTCAAATCTTTAAAAAATGATGTGACAATTCTTATAAAATGATGTTTATACTAATTATAAAGATTTCAAACATACAAAATTGCAGAGAAGATGACAAGTGATCCACACAGTTTTACCATGGGAAATCACCATAACTATGAAAATAATCACATTCCATGCACACTTTGTACTCATTTACAGAACAGGCACCCCAATTGGGACTAGAACCTGGGGTGCCAGCGCCGCAGGTGAAGGATTAGCCTAGTGAGCCATGGGGTGGGCCATTCAACTTTAACAATTACTGTTCAGCACGTTGCATTTTCTGAACCCTGAAGTTTCAAGATGAAACTGGGGTCTCATGAGAATGATGCTACTCTGGCTCACTTTATTCTCTGGAAGTCTTAAAATCTTTATATTTTTGTTTTTTAATATAGCATAAGAAATAGTAGACTATTATTTATGAGAACCATGAAAAGTAATGTACTTAAAGTAAGGAACATGGGAATATCCATAAACATCCATACTGAATATGTGGGATCATGTTCTGGAAATTCCTAGCAAGTTTGTTAATCAAGAAAGAAGAAAAAAATTATATGTATAAGGCTTCAAAATGTCAAAAAGAAAGCAAAACTACAATTATTTATGGAAATTACATAGTTTACATTTTTAAAAAAGCAATTGAATCCATAGAAAATCATGAGAATCACAGAGTCAGCAAGTTAGCTGACTAAAATATTCATGTACAGAAATCAATTGATTTCCTTTTCAGCAGCAGCAAATATATAGAAAAATTATAAAATATGTTTTCATAATGACACTGAAAACCTAAAGCATAGAAATAAATCTAAGTATGAGCAAACAATGATTCCCACAGATTCTCCTTATACTAATCAATGAATGCAATTTCATCCAAAGCTCCAACTAAGTAATTTGCATAACTTTACACATGTAAAATCATGGCAGATATTAAAGGAAATGAAATAAAGGTTTTTCTCTTTTTGGAATGAAGACTCACATTGATGGCAGAGTGATTAAAACTAGTTTGTTTTGATACAGAGGTAGATAAAGGGTATACTGTGAACTATTATGGAGCACACAGACTGGCACACACATATCAGAGAACTTCAAATAATTATGGATAATGCATAGTAGGAAAAATCTATATGAGTCTTTGACATTTTTTGCCCAAAAATAAACTCATCTTTTAATTCCATTTTTCTATAAACTTTTTGAAGTTCTCTCTTATTTGCGATGCTTTTATATGACAGAGCTGACATTTCAGAATACTGTAAAGGCTTACTCACATGGTATTGAGAAAATGTGTTATTCATATGGGAAAAACAATGTTAGTTTATTCTAACCTTCTACTGTATGCAAAATCATTTTCCTTGAATAAATATTTTAAGTATAAAAGCATTAAAAATGTTACAATCACATATGCAATAAGGAACTTAGTCTCTTGGGATTGAGAAGGATTTCTTTGAAATAATTATGTGTCTAAAATGTATACAGTTATATACAAGGAAAATACGCCTTTATAAAACAAACTAACATATAATTCAACCTAAGGAATAAAGTTATACTGTAATCCTGTTAATGCCCAGGTGCAAAAAGTAAGATTAGGCAATGTTCATGCATAGCCAAGAACATACTCCCCTATCACGTCAAATGTAATTGCTGTCACGCCTATTGTTAGAACTGGGGAAAGAAAAGGGGAACTCGCATATAAGTATTTCACAGCAAGCTCCTTTCTTTAACACGGTCTCTAATGTATAAAACACCACCTCCGATTTGAAGCTGTTTTTGTTTCCTTGTTTATAAAACACCAACCTACTGATTCACAACATACATGATTATTTCCTTTTGCACAATAAAATGTCCACATTGTAAAAGCAGGAATGAAGAAACAGTTTAGTTTTAGATGCTTTTTTGTGGAAATAACTGCTTAGGGTAAAGTCAAGAATTTTCAGTGAGAAAATAACTGTTCACATAATTGATATACTCTGAAACTCAGGGTGATTCGATATTTACGAAAGAGCAAAAGGAAGAACCCTTTCACTGTCTCTCAAGCCATGGCAGAACCGATGGCAAGCGTCACGTAATATGCTCCTTTCAGATTTGTTGCAGGGCAGTGTGAATGAGCCTAGCTGAAGAGCACTAGAACTTCAAAGTGTTAACTTACAGAAAATTCATCTAGCTGTTTTGCATAATTACTATCTCACACGTCTGAGTCGCTGTATAAGCATTACATTTTATTTTGTTACCAAACAGTGTTGTTTTACAGAATGGAGCTCTACCTGTGAGACCTCTCCCTACATAAATCAGAGACTTGGGTTAAAACTGCTGCTGGACAGCAATGCCATGGAGGACATTTACTTACTCTTTCTGTCCTTCGGTGCTGCAGACTATAATGTTGCCTTCAGACACAGCTTCCTTGCTCAGTGAGCTGATAGCTATCAGTTAGCCCAGCGCCCAGCACAGAAGTAGTAGCCCAAAAAGGCTGACGTTGTTATTGTCTGAAAGTACTAGAGGGCAGGTCGCATGCGTGTCTGTCTATCTTCCATGTGTTTATCCTCTGTCTCTCCCAAGGAAAATAACTGGGAAAAGTTTTTACATAAAAAGGTCACATCAAAAAGTAGAACTAATAAACTAGAAAGCTTACTGCATAAAATCACATGGAACAATTGACTTCAGCAGGAATCATGCCATCAGCTGATGCTAATACCATTGAATGAAACACAACTGGAGAACATGCCTGGGTACCCATAATGTGGCTGCTCTACAGAGAAACTGGCTTAGATTCCTCAAAGCATTTATTATCAAGAATATTCAAGAGGCAGTGGGGCTGAGTGTTCTTCTGGGTGGAGATATATTAAGATACAAGCAATATCTGAGCTTGAATGGATCCCTGAATAATGGGAAAAACAATATTAATTATAAAGGATTTTTTGACCATTGGGTGTGATTAGAGACTGTATGTTGGAATGTAATATTAAATATCATCATTTCACACCACACACTATATTAAGTATGATAATGGCATGGTGTTGGAGAATAGCTTTGTTTTGAAGAGAGGGCTACAGAAGTGTCTAAAAGCAATATGGTATAACAGTAGGTGCGTTCACATAGTTTGGAAGACGGGGCACAGGGTCAAGGTGTTAATAGTTGATGAGTCTGGGTAAAAGTGTTTGCAGGTGTTCATTATACTGTATCTTTAAGCTATCCAGGAGTTTGAAAATTGTCAAAATACATATTATTTTAAAACAAGGAATACAGTTCTAATAATTTCTTATTGATGCAGGAGGGTAGGAAAGTACAAATAATTTCTTCTTTTTTTTTTTTTTTTTTTTTTGACAGGCAGAGTAGACAGTGAGAGAGAGACAGAGAGAAAGGTCTTCCTTTGCCGTTGGTTCACCTTCCAATGGCCGCCGCGGCTGGTGCGCTGCGGCTGGTGCGCTGCGGCCAGCGCACCGCACTGATCCGATGGCAGGAGCCAGGTACTTATCCTGGTCTCCCATGGGGTGCAGGGCCCAAGCACTTGGGCCATCCTCCACTGCACTCCCTGGCCACAGCAGAGAGCTGGCCTGGAAGAGGGGCAACTGGGACAGAATCTGGCGCCCCGACCGGGACTAGAACCTGGTGTGCCGGCGCCGCTAGGCGGAGGATTAGCCTAGTGAGCCGCGGCGCCGGCCAGTACAAATAATTTCTAATTGATTCATGGGTAGAAAAGCACCGATTTATATGACAGGCATAATTTTAAGCTGCCCCTCCGAAATTCATGGACCCCTGTTGTATATGCCCAGTGTAATGAATGCCCTCCTCATTACTCTGTGTACAGCTGGTAGACATAACTATGCTATTCCAGTGATTAGTTATATTGCAAAGCTAAAGGAGTGTTTCAGTTGTAGTAAAGGTGCTTAATCAGTTGACTCTGGGTTAAATATAAAGCGATACTACTCTAGGTGCAGATAAGTCTTTAAAGGGGACCCAAGGTTAGAGATAGAAGGGAGTATGAAAGCAGTAGGAGAATCTCTTGTAGCCCTTAAAGTAGCAACGGGGTCACACAACAATAAAGAGTGGCTGGCTGGCCTCTAGGAGCTCATTTCATTGTACCTCAGAGAACTAAATGACTGTGAATGATAAAGAAAATGCGGAACCTACACATGATGGAATAATACAGCAAAAATGATCTAGTCTTGTTATTTGCAACAACATGGATGCAATTCAAGGTCATTACGTTAGGTGAAACAAGCCAAGCATATAGTGACAAGTATCACATGATCTCATTCATACGTGGAATATTAAAAAAAGAGATCCTATAGAAGCTGAAAGGATAATCACTGAAGCCAGAGGCTGTGCAGGGAATGGGTGGGGGACTGGGGAAGGTTGATTAATGGCTACTGGCTTATAGATGTCGCTCCCCCTCTTCGTGGAGGAGCAACACAGGACCCTGCGCTGTTCTTTCGTCTGCTCGGCCCTCCCCGGGTTGGCTGCTGGTCCTTCCCGGGTTGGCTGCTGGTCCTTCCCGGGTTGGCTGCCGGTCCTTCCACCTCTGTGGAAGGGCGGTTCCCCCTGCCACATTCCCCACTTCCGCGGGGGAGCGGCACACCGCCGGCCGGCTCTCTCGGGGGCTGCACAGGTGTTCCCCTTAGATGTTCCTGGTGCATGCCGTCTCTCTCCTCCTTTATAGTCCTCCTCCGCCAATCCTAACTCGGC